TGATATTGTATATGAAACGTTATTAAATCGTGAAATTTATCGTCCGGGTGATGCAATACTTTTGAGCGCCACTGTACCATGGTTGAGTAACTTGATAAATACGAACACCTGCACCATATCCAGAGATAGAATTACCATTAAGACTCCAACTTTTTCGGCTATTACGTAACTTTTGCCTTAAAAAAAATGGTATAACTGTTGATGTTGATCCAGTATCAATGACCATTCGGAAACTATTCTCATTATTTGTCATGCTCACTTGATCTGAACGATCTGGATTCTGAAGACGAATATGAACCTAACGTGGCAAATGGCAAACCCGATGATGATATTATTCTGCATCGATTAATATCATATGTTATAAATACAAACCTGCCATTCCTTTCTTGTGGTATCATTGATTGCAGAAAATCTGCGTATTACAATGGGTTCTCTACTAACAATAGGAACATAAAACATTCCTGGATATTCTTCAGCAAGTTTTTCGTATTCATCAGAACTTATTTCCTCTCCATAACGTACTATCTCACCATGAGCAAGTAATATATGTGTTCCTTTTGATGCATCAGGATTTTTAGATTCAAGTAGACGACGATATGCAATGGCATTTGTTGCAATCTCTTCACCAACTTCCCAGTCAGGATCAACAACGTAACTAAAGACCTCACGATGGTCGTGGATATTCATTGTGGATGGCCAAACAAAGTTAGGGCCAACGAAGTCTAAACAAGGATATACTGTATTAGTAAAAATGCAATCAGGTTAAATAATCAGATTTTTTTTCTTTTTATTACATACCATAGAATTTCTTTAACTTATCTTTATCCTTTAAAAAATATTCGTCATCAAGACCTAGTTTTTCAACAAAGCCTTTGAGATCCGGACTTTTGGATACATTCTCGGGATATTGTTCATTAACAGGCTCTTTATGTGCATTTTTAATATTCAAATTTTCAAACTTTCTTTCGAGACCAGTTTCTTCAGATGTATGCGAAAGGTTTCCTATTTACACTTTATTAAATATACAAATAGTAATAATAAATACAACTAGAAGGCAAAAATTACGAACCTGAACTAGGATCAATCGTTTCGGGCGGGATAGAACTCTTGGTACCTGTGAACAGTTGGGACATTATATTTTGAAAATGCAGTATAATACTAAAAAAACTTGAACTACCTGAACGTAAAACTTTTTAAATATTTTTGGCAACTTGAGTTTCCAGAATTTGGGCATTTGAAATTTAACTTGTAATGCACAGACTTAGAAAGTATAAAATTGTTGGTACCTCTTCCATCTCTGATTCATCAAGATTTTTTTCATTACTGTCATCCGATAGTGTATCGCTTGAATCGGTATCAAATTTGGCTTCATTCTTTTCTTTCCCCGAGCTATTATTTTGTATTATTAAGAAAAGCTTGAATACATATTTAATGTATACAATGCAAAGTGAATTTTGAGATGTTACCTGGTTCAATATTTTGTCGAGTAGTGTTGGATAACGCTTCATTAAAATCGTGGTGTAAGTTCAACATTCAATTGATTATATTATTGGAATTCAAGATTGATGCTCTTTTTAACGTTTTCATAACACTGGCTTTATTTCTTCAGAAGGTTATTACTTCAGGTAGTTTCTTTTCTCGCTGAATAAGTATAATGAAAAAAAAATTTGTTGCTCAAAACTTTTAGACGCAACTAAAAGTTAAAGTGCACCCGCAAACCCAAAATGGGACTCAACCCTGGGATTTTCGACTCAACGAGCGGGGATTCAGACTCGACCTTGCACTTTGAGCAGTTAGCAACGGGCCACAGCAAGGCACTCTCTTAGACTCGACTAAGAAATATTCGGACGCAACCTAGCCTATGCTATGACCCGAAACAAACGAAATATGATAAAATGAAAAGAAAAGAAAAGAAAAGATTTAACCTCGAGTGATTTCAAACATCATGACGCCAACTCTTTTGCGGATTTATTGTTACAAGTTTCTAATAACTCCAGACTTTGGTGCTCCTCCTCCTTTTTTCCGAAATCGCTTATACGCACTATACTCCAATGCAAAAAATCTATCAGGTTCCACGCTTTGTTATTCTTGAAATACGGAACCCTTAGCGTCGAACGTTCACTTTCTTGAGTGGTCATTATAATATAATTAATGATTCTAAGGGATAAAAAATTGTCGCATTAAATTCACAATATCACGTTAAATTTATTTCATGTGATATTCACGTGCATAATTAAAATTAGATCCGGATACCATTCCGGGATCTTAGGATTACTTAACATAATATTCACGAATGCGCGTAACGCATTTCATCAAAAGCAAGTAAGATCCTCATTTCCTTTGATGGTATAGTCGACACGTCCAGATGCCTCTTCGCCAGAAACGCTTTTTTAATATGATATATAGATTTTTTCCTCATTGGTAAGTCTTCGAACGATGGCCAGAGATGCATTTAATATCGACATGATAAATACACAACACGTTACTTCGTTGGCATTAGTCTGCATCGTTTCCAGATTTGAGAGTCTTAGTGTTATTTCATTCATGCACTGCTCAAGTGCTTTATCATCGTCATCAATTTTCTCAAATACTGTAGAATGGAAAAATAAATTATTATATGTCTGGAATTTTGATGGTAAATTTTATCAGAGTGAAGTTCATTGTTATACAATAGAAATTTCAACGAACTTGGTTCGCCCAAATAATACTTAGAAAAAATAACCTATTGAAATATTACATACCCGGATTGAATTGTTTGATACTCGTTATATCCTCCCCATTAACCTTGTATTTACGGAGAACGTCCTTCAACTCTTCTAACGTTTTATATGATGAGAAGCTTCATATTTTCTGCTCTTTAAGATTCTCAATAAATTTTGCAAGTGCCGTTGCTGGACTTCCTTTCAGACCATAACTGCGAAACTCTGCCTTAGTTGTCTCAAGAAAAGTGAAACCAGAAATTTTTTCTTTGTGTAGAATTAATAAATCATTATCGAGATCCAAATCTTCCTGCCTCTGCAAATAATTGATGAGTTCTTCTGTCTTATATTTCTTAATCACGTCTGCCATCGTGCGAGTTGACCTTTCTTCCATCAAAGTAGAGGATGTAGAAACTGGTAAGGAAGGTGAAGAAGCGTGTGAAGGTGGTGTTTTTATATAGATAGTGAGCTTTACTATGATTGGTTGATTTGAAGATCATCTCATCATATTAAAGTCTTATTAAAGTAACGATTTGCTATCACAAGAATGGATCGGGGGGCCACGAATACGAATCGGATGAAGGTAAGGCAAAAAAAATTCGAAAGTTCAAGCTTTGCTTTATATACTGTCAAAGTAATTCAGTAAACCGCGAGGTAATTCGGAAGTTAAATGAGAAGCGATATTTCACTTTCAAAATAGAAATTACTCAAACGAGAATGTTGAGAGATCCGTAGCAGTAAGAAGCACTCTCAAGTTCAAACCTAACAACGAATTAATCCAAGTAACGTACAGTATAAACGTTTAGCTTTGATAGTAAACAAAAATATGGATTATTAAATCAATAAATATTAAATATTGAAGTTTTTTTAATTCTAAATTTGTCTTTATTCTTGGAAAATCGGCCCAAGATCTTACTCGTTGAGGATATGAATTTTGAAATGTGAAAAAGTAACAGGCGTGTAAAAGAAGCGTTAACGGTCTAAATTTTGCGTGTTGAGAATAGAGTGAATGTTAGAATATGAAAGGAGGAATGTGACAAATGTGAAGCGGGTATTAAATGTATAATAGAAGTGTTGAAGGTGTGGGATTAGAATGTTCAATGTAAAATTTTTTTTGTAAAATATCATTAATTAATAAATAAAACAATGTTTTTTTTTATTTAATAAAAACCTAATCCTAATTACACGTTCGCTAAAGTATTTATAGCCCTCAGCAAGTAAATTTATGTTACTACAATCTACACTCTCGTCTAAAAAAAAGCTTTCATCACTAGTATCATCACTGATTTCAATACCTCCTCTTCATCTGAATTCTTGGGCTTTGCCTTCTTATCTGATGATTCCAGTGTTTTTTGAAAAGCCTTACAATTCTTCTCGATTCCACTTACAAGGTAATCAGCGCAATATTGACATCGGCTTTCTAATTTAAATAAAAAACATTCGAAATGATAAGCATGCCCACAAATTAGAACGCAACCTACCTCACAAGAATCCACACAGCCTTCTAAGTCACAAAATCAATCATTATATAGAATATGTACCGTATTCCAAGCCATTGGTAATAGATCTATACCAGCTTGAGTTTTTAGTGTTGGAAATTCATATGCTTTCGGCTTCGAGTGTGTTTTGGATGAAATAATTTGCGATTTACCAATGTTTCTGTAAACATTTACAAAAAAATTTAGTAAAAAAAGTGAAGTACACTTTTCAAGATACGCTAGCTGCTTTGGTGAATATCTAATATTATGGCTTTCAGAAAACGCATTTGTAAAGGAATTATTGCCACGCATTTGATCGATTATTCATGCTTCTTGAATAATTTGATCTACCGTATTTAATTCTTGTATCTGTCACCAAAGTGCTGTGAAAATTCTCAACATAATAGTCATTAAAGATGTGAATAGAATCTGTGAGAATTTACATAATAGGGTGATTAGTACTAAACCAGTAAAAAACATCACTTAAAAATATTAATGATAATTTATTATAGTGTCTCCATTGATATTGATAAAAAACTATCCAGATGCGAAACATTGCTTCTATATACGCTTCCCAATTTCCGCTGCGAAATATAATGGGATAAAAAATCTAAAACCAATGGAACAATATTATTTAATAAATTAATAAGATATCGGGCTTCAGAGTCTTTAAAGTATTCGAATTTTTGCATTACTATAGAATGAACTCGAGACCATTTCTGACATGTTAGCTCTAAAAGTAAATTAATTTTATAAGATTTTGGCTTTTTTGCCAAATCTTATTACACCCAAAAACTGCATGAAAAAGCAAATCAAAAAAATTATAATTTAAAAGAAATACTATCTCATGACTATTTAAGGATACATATAAAGATCCAATCATTGGAATAATATATAAAATCTGCTCCAGACTTCAGAAGAATCTCTAGACTTAAGATGATGGATAATAGCATGTCATATATGAAGTTGTCCAGGATAATCCATAGGTGCTATTAAAACTTGAGTCTTCAAATAAGCTTCTGCTTCAGGAATATTTATTAAAGATTTAAGTGTATTTATATAATCTTTGATTAAATAAAGAGATTCTTTTCTTAAATTAACAAGTCTTATATTCTTCATATTTTGATTTATTTGACATTGCTTGATTCAATTATCATAGTTGTGAATTAAGAGATATTTGATTTATTTATCATAAGTTTCTTACAGAGGTAAATTATTAAATACATTTTTTTATCCTGTATAACTAAGCTATAAATGAGAAAAAAAAGTAAGTTAGCATTCTTAATAATAATATCTGAAGTAATACCCTTTTCATTATAAATACTCTTTTCTTAATTGAGATTATTAAATAAAATTGATAGCTTTTTAGATAATACTTTTAATAGTATTATAGTAAAATAAGAAATATTATATATATTAGTTATATTATTATGATAAGATTTATGAATATTATAAAAATTATCAATATTTAAAATAATTAAACTTTCAACTTATCAAAAAATAAAAATAAATATAAGTTAATTAAAATTAAAAAAAATTATAAAGTATGTTAAATAATATTAAAAAAAGTTTATATAATTACATTTTCAGTTAAGAATATATTTATTATTTCTATATGTACTTATATATACTGAATCTTCTGTCTTATAATTATTTTATATTTAATTGTCAGATCTATACCAGTCAAGATTTTAATTATTAATAAAGATATTTAAATACATTTAATAAAAATTTAATCTTTATCTTAATATTATTAATGAATTTATTATTAAGATCTATAAGAAAATAGCAAAATAAAACTAATCTTTTTTTATTTTTTTTATTAATTATATAATTCTTAGCTTATAAATTTATTCTTGCTATTAATTGATCAAAAAAATCTCTTAATAATAATTTAATATTCTCAAGCATCTTTTTAAACTCATCAGAATCAAGAATAGATCTTTTATTATAAATACACTATTTTTAATATAATATTCTTATTATTAATTTAATCTTTCTACTCAGAGAAACTTGTTTTAAAAAAATGATAATAATAATATATAAGAGAATAATCAAGAATATATTAATGATAAAAGCAATTCATTTATTTAATTTTATTTTATCAAGTTTTGCACATACTTCATAATATACAGATTCCAATTTTTGAAATTCAAATTCAAAATAAATTATATTACTATATAAAATATATAATCTATCCTAAAATTATCTTATACTTTTTATTTTTTTTGAAATTATTGATAAATAATCAAATAAATTAACATATTCAGAATTAATATCTATTCTATATAAATAATATTAATATATTATTGCTTCTTTTAATAGACTAAAAAATCTAATTAATCATTCTGAAATCTTTGCAAATTTATTTTTTTTTGTTTTTCAAAATATAGCTAAATAAATTTCATGTTTGAAATAAAAGTAAAAATTAGTTAGTTTTCTTATATTTATAATATACTTATTATAATATTTTCTGTATAAGATCTTGTCAATTAAATCTAAATATTGACTCAAGAATGATATAACTATTTAATTTGTGATAATTGAGATATCATACTGATTATAATTATAAATAATATTATTATAACTCTCCAAATCACAGTAATAAACTTTTCTTTTTCTTTTTTTCTCAGCAGAGCAACTTCATGATGCTTTTCTTATACAAATATTTTATTATATTACTTTCTTATATTATTAAAATATTAATAATATCAATAATAATTGATATATATATAAAAATTAAATGAATTTTAATTACTAATCATATTATATAAAATTTAATTTTATTAATCAATAAAATTTGCAAAGATTACAAATTAATTTATAAAAAATTAATCAATTATAATAAAAGTTTATTATACTTATCCTGCTAAGAAAATCTAGGTAATATAATATTAAAAAGTAAAAATTTTTATTATCTCTATTTTGAATATATAAATAGATCAAAAAATAAGATAGAAA